CGTTCGCGCGGCCGTCTCCGGGCGCAGCGGCGAGGCTTCGGGGTGCGGGACGCCTCGGCCGTGCCGAGCCGACGAGCGTTGCGGCCGGGTAACCGGCAAAACATGCGGAGGTCGAAACTAGGTAACGGTGCGATAAACGCGGGCGCGCTCGCGCGCGCGCGCGCACGTCGCCGCCGTTGCCGCCGTCGCCGCCGCGACGACACAACTTCCCGCTTACCTCCTGACTGATCCGCCAGCCCTGCATGGAGCTCGCACCGTACGCGACATTCTTTCCCACTTCGTCGCTCGACTCCTTCTTCGTAATCGGCTCCGACAAGTACGCTCCCATCTTTTAAAATACCGGCTGGCCGTCGTGCTACTCCCGCGGCGTCCGCGTAATGTGTCGCAACGTTTCCGCCAGAAAACAGAACTCACAAGCGTGGTGCCCACAGTCGTTTAACTAGCCTCCCATGACCGGTTTAGCTTTCTGTTTTCTGAGCGCGCTGCTGGCGCCAGCTGGGTCGGTGGAACCGCCGCCGCGACCGCGCCGCGCCGAGCGCAGACTTGGCCGCGCGCGACGCGCTTTCGCGCCAAACTTAAAGCGACGTGCGCATGTAATAAGAATCGGACGACCGGATATGTATTCCATTCTATTTTCAAGTCTGTAGTCCCTGCACGTTTGTGCATCGTATCAGTCGTACGTCCATTTCTACCTATGTAGATGTAAATGAACTTTAATATCTCTCTCTCTCTCTCTCTCTCTCTCTCTCTCTCTCTCTCTCTCTCTCTCTCTCTCAACTGATTTATCTTTTTTTAAGAATTTTTTTTATAACAAATATTTTCATATTAAGATCTTGTGCATATTAAGATCAGGCTTTCATGCTCTTTATGGAAAATAATTGATTCATCCTATTTTAAGAATTCTTAAAATTTAAGAAAGATGAAAAGTAAGTTAAACTGACATTAAAATTAGGCTGCGTTCCGTTTCATGCATGATGCGCATGATGCATCTTTTACCTTTGTTATTCACCGATTGTTAAATAAGGATAAATGATGCATTATGCACATCATGCGTGAAACGGAACGCAGCCTTAGTATTTATATTTGTAGATAGTGAACGAAGCCGCGATAGAGAATCGTCTGTTAGTTTTATTTGAAAAAAATGTGATAACACAATCGTTTTGCAATTGCTTGAATTGTACTAACAATCAATCAAATATCGATTTATAATGATTAAGATCATAGGATTTCTGTTCGTTTTAGCTAAACTTTTGCATCCGTTTATCTTTCTTCCTCTTCTTTCCTCCTGGAGAGAAAAGGAAGAAAGATGAACTCGTACAAAAGTTCAGCTAAAAAGAACATGCCTAATTATATAATAAGTATGATCCTTTCGTCATCAATTAAGTTATCGCTTTGCAAGTCATTCGAAATAATTCATGTACTAAACAGAAGAAAATCAAATGAATTGAACACAATCGATAAGCTAGAATCCTGTATTGGTCGAAGCTAGATCTTAAAATGCCATATATGTACTTGACATATATATCACACCTATAATCCAACAAACTGCGCGCGGAAAAATTTCCGTACTATATAAACGCAATTAAACCACAGTAATAATCTCGCGAATTAAATTAATTTCTAATAATTTTGATGCTCTTAAACAAGCATCATTTTTCAAAGATGTTAATATGATGAAAAAACTGTAATTAAATTTATTGCGAAAAAATGTCTGTTTAAAAGCATCGAAATTATTAGAAATTAATTTAATTCGCAAGATTTACTGTGGTTTAATTGTGTTTATATAGTCTGGAAATTTTTCGGCGCGCAGTTTGTTGGACTATGGGTGTGGTATATATGTCAAGTACATATATGGCATATTTAGTGATTCAAAATTGAATTATTTAAGCATTTTAAGATCTAGCTTCGACCGACATAGGGTTCTGGTTTATCGAATGTGTTCTCACATGTACGGTCTAAAAATGAAATTATTATAGTCTGTTTAAAAGCATCGAAATTATTAGAAATTAATTTAATTCGCAAGATTTACTGTGGTTTAATTGTGTTTATATAGTCTGGAAATTTTTCGGCGCGCAGTTTGTTGGACTATGGGTGTGGTATATATGTCAAGTACATATATGGCATATTTAGTGATTCAAAATTGAATTATTTAAGCATTTTAAGATCTAGCTTCGACCGACATAGGGTTCTGGTTTATCGAATGTGTTCTCACATGTACGGTCTAAAAATGAAATTATTATTGTAAATAAATTGAATTTCGAAAATGGGATTCAAATCATATTTCGTACAAAATTGTACCATGTTCGAAATTGTATCACTTTATCCTAAGTTAAAATCGATAATTCCAACATTTTAGCATGAATCTTCATTAGACATCAAATTATATGAATAATAAATTAGTGCATTAATAGTATATTAATGTTAAAACGTATTCCATTCAATCACGAAGTACATTCATCTATTATATATTATCATATAGATATATCTAGTGTTATCTTATTCTGGTTCTTGGGGCTTTTATCACAGTTCTTGAACAAGGTGAAATTACAAAAGTGAGCTAATTTACTAGAATATTTGACTTCACTAATCACTTAGTGAATTTAGTCACTTTTAATTTTCACTTGGTTTCAAGAAATAATAAAATTAAGTTTAATTTCGATTTAATTCATTCTTTGATCTGTATTCAACTAGAACATTTAGCACATTATAGCTCATGTTAAATATAATATAATATATTTAAACATAGGACTGTATTCGGAATGTACTCTTATCGATAAGCGTGTTTTTATTTCTGAAATTCTAAAAATATATGTAACATGAACTATGTACTAAATACGCATTAACATCGTTATAAACGCATTCTAAATATAATCCATAGAATTTCAGAATTAAAAGCGCGCATTTATAGATAAAAGCACATTTTGAATAAGTACAGACTCATCTTCCTCCATTTTTTCGAATTAGAGAAAGATAAAAAGTAAATTAAACCACGATTAGATAAAATTAATTTACATTAATAGAAACGAGAATTGTGTCCACCGTCAAAGTAGATTAATTTTAATCTCAGTTTCATTTATTCTGTATTTTTTATAATTTTTAGAACTGGAAAAGGATAAAAAATAAATTAAACCGAGATTAAAGCCCCTATCTGAAATTCTTAACGACATGCGACAGTATAATAATGTCGTTATATTGTCGTTGCACAGCTTTTTTACTATTTCCAAATCTGCGCAGTGTAATGATATTGTTACTGTCATTAATGTATGTACATTTTTATCAATGTAGATTAATTTTAATCTTGGTTAACTTACTTTTTATCTTTTTTTAGTTCTAAGAATTAGAAGAGGATAAAAATTAATGAATTTTGTAGAGAGACACGTTGTAGAATAAATTAAACTAAAGTTAAAGTTACTTTACATTGGTAGAAATTAATTAATAGACATAAGAGTTACAAAATAGAGTTGAAATTTCACATTTGTAGAAACGTATTTATGTCTAATTGCTATCAATGTAGATTAATTTCGGTTTTATTTACATTTTATCTTTTTCTAATTCTTAGAATTAGAGAAAGATAAAAGCAAGTTGAACCGAGATTAAAGTCAATCTACATTTGTAGAAACAGATATTATGTTCATATTTAACGAATTAGATTAATTTTAATCTCTGTTTAATTTACTTTTTATCTGATTCTTAGAACCGAAGGAAGATAAAAAGCATTAAGTTAAACCGCGATAAAAGTTAATCTATTAGCAAAAACAGGCAGTGGGGAGAGACATATCTCAAAGTTTGTTCGCGTCGCATGCTCCATGTTCCACTCCAACGCGCTTGATAGAGTGAGTAGGAGCTATAGTAGGAGCATGTTGGAGCTTGCGACGCGAACAAACCTTCAGTTAAATGCGGAGTGAAGTTAACATCAGAACGCGGAGAATATCGAGTCGCTTTTAAATGTTCCGCGCTAGGAATTATTCAGGGTGGGGGAAGATAAAACTCGGTCGCTACGGTCGCGGTCGCGATGAGCATGGGTGTCGCGCGGGTAGGTGTCGCGTCTCTTCGCGGCACAACGGCAGCTGGAGGGGGATAAACGGCGACATGGAGGGGAGTGCGTGTGGAGTAGTGCGCCGGGGCAGTGAAGCGAGCCCGCCAGTCGTTCGGCGGAGCTCGGGGAGGTTAGGTCGGGCTACGCACCCCGGATGCGAACGCTCGGTGGGACGGCACACCGCGACAGACGGCAGCGGATACGCGGCGCGGAGTCGCGCGATTACAACGGTGCCGCCGAGCACCGGTCTCGCTTCCCTTCTCGTACGCTCGCTGGCGAGCGTTCGACGTCATCGAAGTCGCTGCGAGTCGATCTCATCTCAGTAACGGGGCCGAGCCTCGCTACGCCCGCTCATCCCAGCTCGTCGAGTCTCATCCCTTCGACGTCTCGCCGCCGCCGCCGCCGCCGTCGTTGCTATCGCGTCGATTAGACAATTCGTACGCGCCCCTGGCTGTATCATCGCACCGTCAGCTTTCACCGCGACCGTCCGTGCATCGCACTCGCTGCACCTGTCGATACGTAACACCAAAGGGAGCGAGGACAAGCCAGCACCGTGTGTTCCCGGCCTAGTGACCTGACCTTGGATCGGTCCGACCAGGTACGTCTGTCACTACTTACTTACGCCACGCTTATGCCGCGCACGACGCTTCCCGGGGTCGAAAACGTTTCTTCCGAAGATATATTCGGATTATGGCGGTGATGCGGAATTGAGATTGGTTGCGATACTATGGCAGCAACACGCATCCCCTGCTAATTCAGGGTGCTTAACGCGCGTACGTGTTGCGGATAAGAGGATTTGCAGTTCGCGTTTAGTGATAGGCTTAAGTTTCCTCGGATGCTCGATATCTATAATGGTATCTTTTACGCAGTTTCCCGATACAACGACCCGCTCCGCTCAACAAATGAACTTATATGTATGTTGTATATCGATCTAAAAGCGGTTCCCGTACCGCGAATTTCCCGTGCAATTTCAAAACGACGCTC